TTTCAAAGCTGTCCAAATCTTTGCCCTTTCACTGTATTTATCTACCACTTAGAACTTTTCTCCTCTGAATATCACTCAGCCTCAGYAGTGGCAGGTAATGTGAATTTCCTGGAATTAGCTGTTGCTGTCTCTATTTGTCACTGTGAAGGTGCAGTTTCTGGGCAGYTCTGGGGGTCACACCGTGGGAGAGGTGTCACTGTGTTGATTCACGTTGCTGACTCACAGCTGACCCAATGCTTTTGCTTTTTAACTAAAGTCAAAATTATTTTGGTTTCAAATAGCTTCTAGAAGAGATTAAATCCATAGAGCCATCATTTAGATCATCCAGRGCTGTTCAGCAGGTAAATTAATCCATGGGGAGCAATCCTAAATACCTGATTCAATGACGAGTTTACACATAAAACAGCTTTAGTGTAAACCAGAGGAAATTATGTTTAAAAGGAACACAAATTGTTCATTAGAAAAAAGGGGCAGCAGGACTTATTAGCTCTTTTTTCTTTTTTGTTGTTTCATTTAGAGAAAACTTATTTTGGCACACAATTATTTTGTTTTTCCTCAGTTTGATATATTGGAAGATGACTGACACCAGCTGCTGATTTGTTTTTACAACAATTAATTAGACACATACTGAGATAGTCTTTTGAAATTAAAGGAATTTTAATGGATCAGTGGATTTATTTTTTTTTTTCTGTGAATGGGTAACATGGCATGCCTGGGTCTTCAAATCCAGACTTTGAAATGGAGATTTTTGTAGAGAATTATTTCAAACCTATTTCTTAAACAATTTGAGGAAGCAAGAGAAGTGTGTGGGGTGTTCTGGATCGATCGAATGTTGTCTCTTCCCAGAGTGAAAGTCAATATAGCAACAATCCTCATCTGTAAAACAAAATAACATAAAGGAAAAAGAGTGGATTCCAGTTAAACCTTCATGAAAATTTATTGTCAAATCAAATGAGATCAGGGGCTCAGTTTCTGAACCAAACTAATCCATGGTTTTTCGGGCAGATCAGTGGAAGCTTCTCAATGTCAGACCTTGCAAACTTCTGCAAACATTTCCTGGAAATGGAAAGGTAGAAACCACAATGCCAATTAAAAGATCTGTTAATAAGGAGCCACGATGATGTTTCTTCCTAAATAGTTTCTGGAATTGTGTGTTTGGAYACAATGCAGCACAGAATTGATAATACTTTGTAATTACAAATGGCTTTTAACAGTATGAGCCAAAACATTAGAGCTTAAATGTTCTTTTAGAAGTCATAAGCAGAAACAGTATCATTACACTAAAATCCATAATCTCTGATTCATGTGGATGTGGAAAACACGATGAAGATCATTCCTGGCTCTTGCAYCGAGCAGAACAGAGTGTGTTGGAGCTGTTCTTGCTTTTTGCTCATTTTTGTTTGTAATTCCTTCCTTCAAGCTACTCTGACGAGTTACTCTGAAAATGTGGAACGGACGAAATACGGAGGGGAGAGCAGCAAAGAGCTGGGGTCTGGAGGAAACCTGAAACCTTGGCAATCTCAGAAATCCAGCATGGACTCGTGTTTGTACCGCGTGGACGAGAACATGACAGCCTCCACCTACAGCCTCAACAAAATCCCCGAGAGGAACCTGGACACCGTCCTGTCCCAGTCGGTGCAGTCCATTCCTCTTTACCTGATGCCACGGCCAAATTCAGTAGCAGGTAGGAAATTCATCTTTTTTTTTTGCCTTGAGGTCACAGCACATGAGTGTCACAGCCTTTCTTGTGTTTCCTTGCCTGAGAAGAAGTCTCCTTTCTGGCCTCGTCATTCTTAAGAATGATAACCATTGTATTTTTGTTTGAATTACTGGTTCTAAATGGGGAATTCCTGTGGGAAAAACTGTTTTTGATGGTGTTTAATKGTTATTTGTGGTCCCTTTCTTACAAAATTGTACAACAAAATTGCTGGAGAATATGTTTAAAAAGAAAAAAAAAATAGATTCTTTGCTGTCCTTACAATGCAAATGCCTTGGGTTTATGGTGCCAAGACATCATAGCCATTTTTACCATTTCAAAGAATTCATTACAAACAAAATCAAGTGTCTGATGTTCTCTGAAGATCTTGAGAGCTCTGGAGTTATGAGAATGATGGCACTTTCTGTCTGCAGAAGATTTGCTCTGGGTCCCGTCTCTCRTGGTGGACACACGAATATCTCACACCTCACAGCACCTGGCATTTGATAATAACTGATTTTTTTTTAAAGTCTTGCCATTAAATCAACATTATTTTCATTTAAATCCCTGTCTGCYCTTGGAAACATTTTTAAATGATGCTGTGCCACCCCTTATTGATGTCCTTTAGCAGCCTGTTGAGTGTCCCCCTGAATCTGGTAACAGCAGGGCAAAAAAAGAGTTGGTATTAAAAATATTAAAGCTTTGCTGTAAATCTGCTTGCCTGGAATTATTCCCCTTTCCTTTATTGCCCGGTATATTTTTTTTTCTGGTTGACTTCTGTGGCGTGAAACACTGCTGTTCTGTGTGTCTGTCTGTGTAGAAATCCATTCTGAATTCTGAGTTTGGTGTTTGCTGCTCCTGAAAACCCAGAGATGATTCTGGGAGATGCCCCAAAGAGTTGGGATATTCCTGTTAAATCAGCATCCCTCGGTGAACCAGGCTGCGTTACATAACTGGATTAGGTTTTCTTTTTAATCCCACTTTTGCCAGTCACAGACCTAAAAGCAGTGTAAAAATGAGATTTATGGATGGTGAAACACCAGCTTGGAGCGTGGAGGTGCAGCACAGACTGAAAACCTGAGATTTGGGATTGGAAAGAGGGGATAGGAAAAAAACCTGGAAAACTCTGCTTATTTTAAATCAATTCCTTATAAATGTGAGGTGTGTCATAAATGACACCTTCCAAAGCAAGCAGAGCAGGCTGGGCACCAAAAATTTCAATCCA